TACACTTATGTGTATCAGTAACAACACTCTCATCTCTGAATGTTCAAGCCCCACACCAGGACTCTAACTCACTTAGTTTAAGCTGACACTCCAATGCAGTGCTGGAGATATGTTGCATTGTTGGAGGTGCTGTCCTTTGGATGTGATGTTAAACTGAGGTGCCGTCTGCCTGTTCAAGTGGACATTATAGATCCCATGGCACTATTCGAAAAGAGAAGAGTTTCTCCTGATGTCTCCAGGCAGACGGGACTTCATCTCAAACTGCTTCTAATTCCAGCCCTATTCCTCCTCAAGGCAGCTTGAGGGTCCACCAGGGCCCAATCCATAACACTATTTATTAAACAATAAATCAGCTTCGTTCAATATCAAGCATACTGGATGGCACTCTGCAAATTACTAGACTGTGATACAATCAAGCACTTCAGATGCCAGATGGGGGATGGGGTCATAAACCACCGGATCAAAACCATGAATGGTTTATTGTTACCTCAGTACTGAGGCTGAATCATTGTTATAACCTCAGGCACTGTATCCACATCAACACTTTGAGCTCACATACTCTAGGATAACACTTCAGTGTAGTTGCTGGAGATGTGATGCCCTGTTAGAAGTACCGTCATTCGGATGGGATGTTAAACCAAGGTCCGTCTGCCTGTTCAGGTGGACGTTAAAAATCCCATGGCCATATTTGAAAAGATGAGTTGCACTCGGCATCCAGGCCAACAATCCCCCAAATAAAATTGGGCATTCACGGCATGGCTGCTTGCGGGACATTGCTGTGTGCAAATTGGCTGCCATGCTCGCCTACAAAGCACACCCTCACTACATTTACAGTAAATATTGTGAAGTACATTAAGACATCCTCCCGATGTGAAAGGTGTTATATCAAATACAAGGATCGTTAGTATTTGTTGTGTTTTGTAACAATTGGAGAATTTGTAAAAATGAAACATGTCAAAGTGCTTCACAGGTAATTACACTCCCACCACCACCACCATACACAGTCAGGATTTCAGCAGCACCACCCCACTCTCTGAATCTCTATCCTCAAGTCCCTTCTTCGTACCTCTTCCCTCGCCTCCTTCAAATTCTGTCTCAAGACTTTCCTCTTGGACTGCGCTTTCAGCATCTTTCTCCCCCAACCCGCACCTTTGCCTCCCACTTCTTTGGCCCCCACTCCCAGCTCAGGTGCAAACCTTAGACTGTCCAGCATCTTGGGATGTCATCCTGACATGAAAGACTTTATATAAATTTGTATTTTACTGTAATTATTGTGAACTGCAGTGATTGTGTATTTCGTGGGCAAATATAGCAGCCAATTTGTGCACAGCGACTTCCCACATGAAGTGACTGATCAGTTTATCTGCAAGATTGCTGACTGAAGGCAAAGTGGTTTTACATGTTAAGACTAAGTGGAATTCCGGGCTGCAATAGAGAGCCGGGGCTGGGGGGAAGGGAGGAAGGGGGTAGGCGGTAGGAGGAGAGAAAGACACATGTGGAGTTAGCAGAGAAATGGGAAAAACTTAGTACTGCTCTCAATAACCACAGCAATTTTCCTTTGTAAAGGTTGAATAATCCCCTCTTTACTCCCATGTGTGAAACTGAATCATATTACTTGGCCCTGTCTAAGTCTGCAGACAAGGTAACCTCAGCCCCTCTCCTGACCGTATATCACAACGGTTTTCTTTTATTGAAATTATACAAAAAAACACTTCAGCTTAGCTCCTGAAGCTCGGCGACCTGGACTGAACTTGCTGTCTCAACAAACCCTCCAACACGGGCAAAACCGTCGGCAAGTTTCCTTACTCCACACGCCTCTGTTTACCTAGCAGTCAGTATGAACCCAGTTGTTAGTCGATTGGTATAGTATAGTTCTGTGCACACAGAGCAGTCTGTTCCCAGAGACTTGCACATTTCAAAACCTGGGGCAGCCAATTTGCGCACTGCAATATCCTCAAAGTGAGTGACTAATTTTAGTGGGTATTGTTGGTCAGGACACTGGGAGTAAACATTTTCTCTTCTTAAATAGTTCCATCGGATTTTAGCATCCACCTGAACAGGCAGACAAGGGACCTTGGTTTAACGTGTCATCTCAAGCACGGCACCTCTGACAATGCTGCGGTCTCACCCCATAAAGCACTGGAAAGCCAACATGGACCATCAGTCCAAGTTCTGATATGGGCCTTGAATTGAGTTGGTAATGCACTGGAGGGCAGCCAGTGATCAACCATCTCTCCACCGTCCACCATCTCCCCACCTCTCTCCCTCCCTCGCAGAAAGCAACAACCAGAAAAGAAGTGGAGGATTTGGACTAATTGTGACTTTTACATTCTCAATATAGAAACCCTATCACACTGAAATCTCCAACCAGTTCCCCATCTTACAAGGAGTGGATTTCAGGTTTCTGTGCAATGTGAGAAGGACATGGCTACACACTTGAGAGGACCACAATCGCAGGAAGGTCTCCATTCAATCTGGATCCTGTTTACATGGGAATGAGAGCTTCGAGACGCACAGCACACACACACACACTCACACACACAGACCCTGGTGCTCAGTCACCGAAGAGCTCAGGGGCGTCTCTGGCAGATCCGGGGCCACCGTGTGTCAGCGTTCACTCCTAAAACCTGCTCCACAGCGCTCTTGTGACACAGGCAGAACTCCCTAAACACGATTGTGTTGGGAGTGGTACATCAACAACAATATGCAGTTATACAGTGCCTTTCATCTATAGGGTGTTTACAGAGTCATGTTACCCCGTTTCTTTGTCTTACAATTAATGTTTGTTTTCGGTTGCAGATGAGTCGAGTCTGTCCATCTCTGATACCAGTTACTTCCTCCTAACTCCATCCACGTTACGGAAGATGTCGCACCGATCATGGCAACTGATATTATCCGCCGTGAAAACGGTGGCGCTCACTGATCCTCTGGACGCCTAAATACAGCTAAACACTTGTACTGAATGCAATTGAAGTATATCTAAATACAATTATCATTATTCTTCCACGTGTTTCAGTTGTTGATCAGTGGACTATAGAAGAAAAACAACATGGGGGTAACAGGACTTTGTGAGCACCCTGTAGGATGAATCAGACTTTGATCTTACAGTCCAGACCGACACTCCAGTGCAGGGATTGGGAATCACCACATTGTCAGAGGTGCTGTCCTTTGGACGAGACCGAGGTTAAACAGAGGTCTCATTTGCCTGTTCAGGTGTATGTTAAAGATGCTGCAAAGAGCAGAGAGTTTCTCCCAGTGACCTGGCCAACAATCCCACAGATTAAATTAGTCAGTCACTTTATCATGGCAGTTTGTGGCACATGACTGTGAACAAATTGGTTGCCGCATTCACCCCCAAAAACACACGGTCATACATTTTACAGTAAATCCTCCTGATTTGAAAGGCGCTGCATCAAATCTAAGGATTATTATGATTACAGTACATGTTGAATCATCTTGACTATTCATTCATCACTTGTCATGCCTTTCTTTTGGTCAGCCAGACACATGTGGAAACCCATGCAAGAAACAAAGCTTAGTGTCCCCAGAGTGTGTATTGGGATAACTGCTGGGGTTTACCCAGCTAAAGCCACACAGCTTGCTATTTCTAGCAAACATCCTGCAGCCTTGTCCTGTGTGGACCACGCTATGTGTCGGAGCTGTGGCTTGCTGGGTTAACAGGAACTGAGTGTGGAGAATTCCTGCTCCCAGTGACGGCTCTGGCCCACTAATATACGGGAGCAATCGCGGTTTGCTTTGAGTTAGATAAAGAGATCAAGGAAAGTGTATGAATGTAACTCACAATAATTTGACCCATCTCCAGCTCTGTTGGATCCCTGTGGCACAGTCACTGGCCCATTGAGCAGCCTGTAACCCTAAGCACGCCTGACACTTGGCAGAGTGTGGATTTTGGACAACTGGACTCCAGTATGTACAGAGCACAGTAACTACCCACAGAGAATGATGGGCTTGTGGATCTTATTCCCTCACTGCCCCACCCTGCGCCATCTGTCATACTACCCCAACACTACAATTTGTGCACAGCAATGTCCCACAAACAGCTATAATGTGAATGACTGATTCATCCACTTGCACAGGCAGACCCATACTACAACCAACTTGCATTTAAATAGCGCCCTTCACACCGGACGGCGTCTCAGAGCACTTGAACCAAACCAAAACTGCAACCAAACCAAATCCATAGCAACATGACAGCTACTTGAACAACCAAATCAATACTACAACCAAGTCAACCAGCAAACAATGCTACAACCAAACAAATTCAACAATGCAAACCATGACCAAACCAATTCAATAACCAAACTCAAACTACAAATGAACTAAACCAAATTTATCTCTACAACAAGGACATTAAGTGTTAGTAAGGAAGGCCCCTCAAACCTAAACCCGATTGCATCCGGTCCTGTTTGTTTCCCAAGTGTCGATCCATCTCTCTCCCTCAACTCATTCTTCATCTCTTGCTCTCTGATTTGATCCAGAATTCCTATCACTCTCTCGATGATTAGGAATTCTTCCTAGTCTCCGTTTTAATTTGTGGGGCCTGAATGTTAAGGTAAATGGTCCGCCCCACAGCTTCGCTGCGTGGGAGCTTTGTAAAAACTTTCTTGGATTTTGTCCCAGTTGTTTGACGGAGGCAAACAAATCCCACCCTGGCTCTACTCAGTACAGGTAAGTGAGACAGTTTGGCCTGACCTTGGCTGAGCTCAAAAGTATGGGTGGAGGGGGGAAGGGGGTCGTGAGCAACCTCGACCCTCGCTCTCTGCCACTGCTGTAGAGCATAACTTGCAACGCATGTATTAAATAATCACTATGGAATTCACAAACAACCATGACCTACACTCATGCATGACAGGATTGCCAGCGTCGATGATCTGCCGGGAATGGATGGTTGGAATGCACATTACCTGTACCAGGGAGTTCCGCTGCACCGGGAACACCGCAGCTGAGCCCCAGGCAGTGTCGGTGGGAAGAGGGCTTACCTCTCGGATCCTGTCGAGCTCGTTCTGCAGTGTCTGCTTCGAGATCTCCACTTCGATCAGCCTCTGTCGCAGGGATTCGTTCTCGTCCTCCGCGCTCACCCGCTTCTCCTCCACACTCTCCAGCTCGTGGTGCAGCCGGACAGATACATCTTTGGCAACCTGCAAACAGTGGCAGACAGATCAAAACGGACTGCTTCAGACTGTCCATCAATCCCACCCCCACCCGCACCGCACTCACCATCGCTGGCAATGTGCCAAACACTACTTTCCTTTCAAAATCCATCCCTCAGTGGGCCAATAATCAATAATTATAATACTACGGGTCATAATCATAATCAATCCAAACATAATACCAAATAATCTCTAAAAAAAATCATTGAAATAATAGTCAGAGTAATTGTACTAAGTTATAAATCGCATGCACGTTAATAATTGGATTAAAATCACATTAATGTACCATTCTAAATAATGAATAATGAAATAAATGATCGTAATAAAAGATTTTGAAATAATAATTCATATCAAATAATGATCGTATTGGATAATAATCAATGATACAAAAATCATAAAAAATAACGCTCAATCTATTGATCATATTCAATAATAAATCAATAATCGTAATTGCAATGATCATTAACATTAAATCTGGTGCCTTCCACCAAAACGTCTTGAAGCACATTGCACAACTGGGTGTCACACACCAATCGCTAACACGAGCAATCAGTTTGTTATTTGTTTCCCGCTGTAAAGACCGAATGAAAACAGGTCACCAGCTCACAATCCTCGCAGAGATGGGAGGCCAGACAAGGTGACTTCCTTCAATCGACACAACATTCGTTTGCAGCGTGACATTCTTTTGACAACTACGGGAAATCGGCTTCAACATTAAGGCTACGTTTAAGAATTTGCCAAATTCTGTGTGCTCCAGAAATGCTAAGAAAACAGCGTGGGTCCAGACCTAGGTAGAAATTCCCTCCCTCCCTCTCTCCTTCACCCCCAAATACCCACCCACCCACACACATCCCTATCCATAATGTTTTACTCAATGGTGTGAAACCAAGTGATCACTTGGGGTGAATGTTTCAATGCAGAGTTTGAAACCCACATATACTGCATCTGAATATTCGGGTGCAGAGACGAGCACCCATATTTATGGGAATAAATATTGTACTCTTTGTGAATGAGTCATACATCAATGAATGAGACTGTGTGACTCTGCGGGAACCATTGAGAGTGGTTGTTAGTAAACCTGAGGAATGGAGCGGTGACTAGAAATTAATCTGTCCCGGTTTGTGCCACTAGTTGCGATGTTGAACAGATACCATATGGACATGAGGAGACTTATATTTAGGTGACGGGTTGCTTTTCCCTGGATATTTAGTTGCAGTAGGGATCTGATGGCACGTAGTGGCCTGGTTTTGTTCGACAGTATCCGGGACAAGGTCACACGGAACACTGAGGCATTGAGAGCCTAAATAATGGGACCCTGAGCAAGGAGACACTGAGTAATGTGAGACTGAAGAGCAACAAGAGGCTGAGCAACGAGACCCTGAGCAACGAGACCCTGAGCAACGAGGCTCCAATCAATGATGCTGTGAAAGTTTCCTTACCTTCAGATCTTGTTCGAGGTTACGGATCAGCTCCCCGTCCACCTGCCCGGTCTGGGCGACCTTCAGGCTCTTCTGCTCAGTCTTCCTGAGCCGGTACTGCAGGATGCGGCAATTTTTGTTGGCGCGGTCCAGCTCTCTCCGCAGCTCCTGCACCTGGTACACGTCTTCTTCCAGGTAGCTGTCCCGCAACTCCTCCATCTCTGCTCGCAACTCCTCCAGCTCATCCTGATGGTTAGTGATAGACCAGGGAGGAGTGACCAGGGAGTTTACCTCACAAACTCAACCTAGCTCTGGTGTGAGAGCTTTCTTGCCTCTGGGTCAAAAGGTGGTGAGTTCAAGCCCCACATTGGGACTCACACTCACACTCTAGGCTGGCAGTCCGGTGCAGTACATGGGGTTGGGGGATTTGCATTGCCAGAGGTGCTGTCTTTTGGATGAGACGTTAAACTGAGGTCCTCTCTGCCTGTTCTTCAGGTGGATGTTATAAATGCTGTGCCACTTTTCGAAAAGAAAAGGGAGTTCCTCCCAGGGTCCTGGGAGAATAATTGGCCTGATAAAATTGCTCATTCGTGGCTTCATAGTCGTTTCTTTTGGGGTGGGGGGGGGGGGGGTTGGGGGAGTTTCCTGTGCACAGTAATTGCTATGAAGCAGTTTGTGATGCTTGGATTTGATAAACATTTGCATATTATAGTGTTTTCAATGTCAAAACATCTCAAAGTGCTTCACGGGTAATTACCTTCAACTGTGGCAACTGGGGTAATTTTGTGGGCAGGAGAGGCAGTCATTTAGCACACAGCACAGTCCTACACGCAGTCACGAGGTGAATGTTTAATTCTATCTGGAGGACTGTTGGCCAGAACACCGGGAGAAACTCCCTTCTCTTTTCAAATAATGCTGTGGGATCTTTTAACGTCCACCTGAACAGTCAGACAAGGCCTCGGGAATTCACTGAACAACAACAACAAATTACACCTGTGTGGCAACCTTCACGTTTGAAAGACGTCCTAGAACGCTTAAGATTGGAGTGCTCCCCATATTGGCAGTTATTGAACTCTTATTTGACACAAAGAATGCTTTAATAATACCACAAGGTCTACCCCAATGTTTACTGTTTCAGACAAATGGAAAAATAATCAAAGTAAATGGACTAAGTGTTGTGCCCTGTTCAGATGTTGGGGCAATTTCCGGCAGGAACGGACAAATTGCTCCAAGTCCCCCCCACCCCCACAAAAAATTCTTCAGCACATCAATCGCACCATCTCACAGTCTTGAATACTAAATATTTTCAAGAACTTCCCCAATTCTCATAATTGAAACTTTTTAATGGTTCCTGTCGCAGTAAGGATAGGGGATCACTTCAAATTAAACTGTAATGTGTACGGATATTAAATGATTATATATCCAGTGTGTAGATGGATATTAAATTGGTATATATACAGGATCCACCATAGGTGCTCAGGCTTTCAGCCCCCAATCTTTGCACTCCATCCTGGAGTCCCTCCAACCTACTCCCTCCCTCACCAAGGCCCATCTCAAGACCTCTTTGACGGTGCCTTCAACCATCTTTTCCCTCCCCATCCTCCTTGATTCCCATCCCTAACTCAGGTGCCAAGCCAATGCTTTGGGACGTCCTCCCGATGGGAAAGGCCCTATATAATGTAAATTGATATTGTATGGATACTAAATTGTAATGTAAACTGGTAGGTGTATGCATATTAAATGAAGAAAGAACTTGAAATTTTATAGTATCGGAAGTATTATTAGTGTTGAAACATCTCATAATACTTCAAAATAATTATTGTCAAGACATTTTAAGTATAGCAATGACCTACAAATAGCCAAGAGGTGAATGATTGATTAATATGAAGGTTTGTTGGCCAGGACACCGGAAATTAAGCTTCCTTTTCTTTTGAAATGGAGTCATGGGATAGCACCTCAGTTTAATGTCTCATCCATCAAGGCTGGCATGTATAACAGTGCAGTACTTCCCCTATACTATATTGGAACATCAGCTTGGTGTGTGAGCTCAAGTCTCAAAGTGGGTCTTGAACCAAAAAACTTCCACTGCAGCGGCAGGAGTGCTATCACTTGAGCTAAGCTGACGCCTACTTATTAAATATAGACACGAAGATTACTCTCACCAACAAGTCAGAAGGTTGTGGGTTCAAGCCCCTCTTTGGGCCTTTGAGCTCATAGGCTGACACTCCAACGCAGTACTGGGAGAGCACTGCGCTGTCGGAGGTGCTGTCCTTCAAATGAGACATGAAACCCTGTTCAGGTGATGTTAAAGATCCCATGGCACAATTCAAAAAGAGAAGGGAGTTTCTCCTGACGTCCTGGCCAACAATCCCCTGGATAAAATTGATCATTCACTTTGTGCTGTTTGTCGGACATTGTCGTGCTCAAATTGGCTGCCATGTTCACCCAGAAATACGCAGTCTCAACACTTTACAGTAAACCTCTGTGACGCGTTTTGAGATATTTCGATGTACTAAGGCGCTATGTCAAACGTAAGCATTATTATACAGACTTTTTTTGTACATGTACAGTGGAGACACATGGGTGTCTGTCTGCAGCACTGCTGAACACGAGGCACAAGACCCACATACACTGGAGAACACACTAGAGAACTATATTTCCTGGGATCCACTCCAGCAATACCTGGAAAGGGGCCAGTGAAGCAGATGCCAGTTTTAAAAAAAAGGTTTCATTTTAAAATTAGCTTTTGAAATATTGGTCGTCTCTAATTAAGTTACACTTCGATTACTGAATGAACGGCCAGAGGGATCAATGGTCTTCTCCTGTCTGATGTTGTTACTGTGTCACAGTCTGCTTAACATTGTACTACAGTACTATGAATCCACATCCACACTACAGAACAAAAACAGTCGGGGTGCAATTTTTTTTTAAAAAAACTGCTCAATCTTTTTGAACTCAGCTTTTTTGTGTGTGACCCGACAAGTAATTCGGAGCTCGACAAGCGGATTGCAAGCCCGAAACCTTTTGTGCAATGAGCATTTTTTGAATTTTGGAATAATCACTGTGGACAACCACACACATGCTTTGTTGCACTGGGTGTGTGGGGGGGGGGGGGGGGAGGGGAGAAAAATTGCGTCTATCCCGCGCGGATTGTAAACAAATGCTTAATGCTTCTGATCCGATAAATAAAATGGGGAGCAATTCTGTCCCCAGTTTATGTGCGACAAAGAGTATGCAAATGATCCCAGGGAAAATGTGAACACGCTTTTGTTGTAAGTGAGTGGATCAGTCATCTGGTCAGATCTATTAGAATAGTCTGAAAGCCACCCCACCCCACCTCTCCCCGGCCCGACTCAGTGTATTGTATGGCAATATATACAAATAAACCATTGTCGTTCATTATCTGGCAATGGCAATGCTATTACCACGGCCCAGCTGGCTAATGAGTCCCTGGATCATGGACGGTAACTGACTTGTAATTAAAAACTGAAGGGCTGTCACTTCTGTCCACAGTGACATGCATTTTCCTAAAACCCCCATTCTCTTCCCCTTCTCCATTTTAATTGTTCCTTGTTGCTCCTGTGTGCAGACCAAGGTTATTGTGCAGGAAAATTTAAATGTGTCTGTGCAACAACAACAAATTATATAGAGTCTTTCACGTCGGGAGGACATCCCAAGACTCTGGACAGTCAAATGTTTGCACCCAAGCAGGAGGGGTGGAGGGCAGAGTTAGGAGGATGGCTGAATGCTCGGTCGAAGAGGAAACTCTTGAGATGAACCTTGAAGACGGCAAGAGAAGGGGGTTAGGGGCTCCAAGATGGAGTTCCTGAGGGTGGGGGAAGAAAGACTAAAGGTCCGACCTCTGATGGTGTATCTTTGCATGTACTTGTGCAAGTACATTCACAAGTACATGCAAGACACTGTACATGTCTTTGCTTGTGTGTGCTCGTTTGTTCAGGTGCAGGTTGGTTCATCTGTGTGTCTGTAAATTTGTCTGTGCGTTTATCTTCATGTGTGTTTTTGTGCATGTGGAGGGAGAGTGGGGGGTGGTGCGGGGTGAGGGCAAGTACTTGTTTGGTTGTCCACAGAAATTATTCCAAAATTCAAAAAATGCTCGTGGCACAAAACTAAACGGGATTTTTTTAAAATATAAAAACTCTGATGTGTAAAGCAAACCTCCCAATTACAGCTGCTTAGATTTAAAACAAAGTCCAATTATCCAACCAGCACTCGCTGACGTCTGTCCCAAAATCGCCGCCCCCTCCTCCTCCTCCTCCTCCTCCCCCTCTTGCTTAAGGCATCTCCTGTTGGCTGATTTTTGAATTTGAATCTGTTTGAAATAGGATCCATCCTTAAAAATAAACTGTAATAATAATAATCCTTACACTTGATATAAGGCCTTATCATGTTGCTGAAAAAGCACATAACAGGATTCACTGTAAAGTGTAGTGACTGTATTTACCGGCGATCACAGCAACCAATTTATGCACAGAAATGTCCCACCAACAACCGTGAAGTTGGGACTGTTGGCCAGGACACCGGGAGAAACTCTCTTTGCTTTTCGAATCGTGTCACGGGATCTTTAACGTCCACCTGATCAGGCAGACGAGACCTCAGTTTAACGCTTCATCCCCAAAGGACGGCACCTCTGACAATACAGCGGAGCTCCCCTCGCACTGCATGGGAACATCAGCCAAGGCAATGTGAGCTCAATGTCCCGGCTTGAACCCACGATCTTCTGACTCAGAAGTGATAGTGCTACCAACTGAGCCTGGCTGACACCTGGACAAGTCCCGGACACAGACTTTGCTTGGCCCGGGACACACATTCCATAATACTGTACTACCAAACAGTTTGATTGAAATGAATCTCGCTTCTTCTCCTCCTGGGTTATTTAGTTCCGGACAGAGAGAGCATCCTGTGCAACGCACAATCCAGCTCGCACGCCAGGAAGAGTCTTTTATTTAAAAATAAAGATAAAAATATTAATCTGACACCCACCCACTTACTTACTTACTGGGGAGAGAAGTTACTCCATCAGTTTCTATACAGTTAAAGCGGAAACCCATCACGATGCTTAAGAGTATCCAAACCAAACTGAGAATTCCAATACATTGGGTGCAATCAGTTATAAAATAATAATAATAATAATAATCCTTGCATTTGCTATAGCGCTTTTCACGTCGGGAGGACGTCCCAAAGCGCTTCACAGAACACACTGTAAAGTGAATTGACTGTATATTTGTGGGCGAACGCGGCAGCCAATTGCGCACAGCAATGTCCCACAAACAGTCGTGGATTGAAAATGACCAATTTATTATTGTTTTTGGTTTTGGAGGGATTATTATTAGGCTCTGTGTGGAGTAAGGAAACTTGCCCAAGGTTTTGCCCTCTGCCTGGAATTGAACTCAGGTCTCTCGCTTGCAAAGCGAGTGCTCTAACCACTGAGCTACAGGACTCCACGACTTGTTGGAGAGACGTTCAACCTGGGTCGAGATTTGCTCCATTTTTTTGACGTGCAGAACTTGGCATCTTGTTGAATTCAGATTTGACCTGGAATTTTTTTCTCGTATTGCAGGACATTCAACTTCAATGTTGCGACTGTGTTTAAGAATTTACCAAATTCTCCGGTTGCTCTGAAATGCCACATCAATGGAGTCAACCTGAGTCAGGTGGAGCCGCTGCCATTCTATCTCCCTCAACCCCCACCCACTCCCGACGGGTGAAATATCGTCGCGGTCAAAACGGGCTTTTACATAGCGTTTCAGAGTGTTAGGAAATTGGCAAATTCTTAATTGCAGCCTTGATTTTGATCCTTTTTTTTAAATGTAAACTCTTTCAGGAGCTAAGGGCAGGAAAGAGGCTTTGATATTAAGAACTGAAAGCAACAATTTGCCAAATTCTGGTGCTCTAAAGGTACTACATCAGAGGAAATCTGGAGCTAAATACCTTAAACGCTTTTGTGTGTTGCGTGTTGTTTACTGTGAGTGTATGTACGTACCCAAGCATCCATGTACTGCACGTGTGTTTGTATGTTGTGTTTTCTGCACATGTGTCAGTGCGTGTTTTGTGGCATTGTATGCACGTAGTGATGCATGTTCTGTGCGTGTGTGTGGGGGCGGGGGGGGGGGGGAGGAGTGTACGTTGCTGTGAGCGTGGCATGTTTGTGTGTTGCATACATGTCGTGAAGTACGTTTCGCGTAGCCTCTGCATGTGATCGTGTGGTTCGCGGTGTTCTAACGTGTGCGCGTGGCGGCCGGGTGCGTTGCCCGCGTGCATGCGACGTCTGTGGCGTGCGTGCATCGTGCGTGCACGTAGTATGTTCTGTATGTAGGTTGCACGCACGCGCGCACGGATATCTGTGCGTATTTCTGTGACGGGGGTGTGCGTGCGTGCGCGCGCGCGCGTGTACCGTGTGCGCACGCTGTATGGGTGTGCGTGTAGGTCCCGTGCGTGTGCACGCGCTCGCGTGTGGCATGTTGCATATACACACACACACACGTATGTGTGGACCAGGGGTTGAGTTGCAGACTCTCTCTCTCTGTACCTTCAGATAGTCGTTCTCTGATCTCAGCTCCTCCATCTCCCTCATCATCACCTCCTCCTCCTCCTCCTCCTCGTCCAGCAGTTGCTGTTGTTGTTGTTGTTGTTGTTGCTGCTGTTGTTGTTGTTGCTGCTGCTGCAGAGGCGGTGACCGGTCCGGTGCGGGGGCTCTGCCGCTGTGAGGCACCTCAGCCCCGGGGGCACAGCAGCCGCCGCCCCCTCTCATCATCAGCATCGCCACCTCCTCCCGGTCCTTCCCGGACACCCCGGGGCCGCTCTCCCCATCCCCGGCCGGGCTCAGGCGGATGAAGCTCCCGGTCTTCTTGCCGGTGATGCCGGTACCGGGAGCCCCTTCCCCCCCCTCCCCCGCCCCCTCCCCCTCCCCCGGGGGCTCGGAGCCGCAGTCTGACAGCTCGGAGCTGCTGTCGGTGCCGGCGGTGCCCTTGGCCGCGGGTACCGACACCGACACCGGCGCCGCCGCCGCGCATCGCTTCTTCCCTTTCCTCTTACGGTCGGAGCCGAGTCCGGAGCCGAGTCCGAGTCCGGGTCCGGGTGCAGTCCGTCTGCCGCCGCCGCCGCCGCCTCTCTCCGGCCCTTTCCCGGCGCTGGACACCCGGCGGCTGAAGTGCGAGGAGCCGCCGCCGCCGCCGCCGAGCGAGGACCTGCCGCCGGGCGCCGCCCCGCCCCGGGTACCGGCCGCCCCGGGCTTCTCCCGCTCCCGCTCCCGCTCCCGGGGGCTCAGAGCGGCCGCCGACCGCCGGGACGCGCGGCTCTGCGGCGACAGCAGCGGCGGAGGCTGTCGGCTCGGAGCCGCCGCCCCGGTGACCGGGGACGGGGAGGAGGGGGACGGGGAGGAGGGGGAGAGGCCGCCCGGTTTGCCACAGAGCGAGGCTTTGCCCCCGATCGCGACCCCCCGACCGTGCAGCTCCCTCAGGGGTCTGGCGGGGGAGGGCGCTCGGTGCACGCGCTTCTTCTCGGGGTATTGCGGCGGCGGCGGCGGCGGTTGTTGTTGTTGTTGTTGCGGCGGCGGCTGTTGCTGTTGTTGTTGTTGTTGTGGGGGCGGCGGCGGCGCCTCACAGCCCCCGTTCACTGTCTCCATCCCCCCGACCTCTCCGGTCCCCCTCCTCTCTCCTCTCTCTCTCTCTCTCTCCTCCTCTCGCCACCGGTCCGCAGTCCCCAACCGCGACCCCACAACTCACACCCGCACTCGCTCCCGGGATCTGCTTCACCTTTTCTCTGTGCATCACTTCTGCTCTCCCTCTCCCCCTCTCTTCTCTCTTCTCTCCCCCTCCCTCCCTCTCTCTCTCTCTCTTCTCTTCCTCCCTCCCTCCCTCTCTCTTCTCCCCCCCTCCCCCCCTCTCTCTCTTCTCCCCCCCCCCTCCCTCCCTCCTCTCTTCTCCCCCTCCCTCTCTTCTCCCCCCCTCCCTCTCTCTTCTCCCCCCTCACCCCCTCCCTCTCTTCTCCCCCTCCCCCTCCCTCCCTCCCTCTCTCTTCTCCCCCTCTCTCTTCTCCCCCCTCTCTCTCTTCTTCCCTCTCTCGTCTTCTCCTTCTCTCCCTCTCTCTTCTCCTCCCTCTCTCTCTTCTCCCCTCCCTCCCTCCTCTCTCTCTTCTCCCCCCCCTCCCTCCCTCTCTTCTGCCCCCCCTCCCTCTCTCTCTCTTCTCCCCCCCCTCCCCTCCCTCTCTCCCCCCCCTCTCCTCCTCTCTCTCTCTCTCTCTCTCCCTGTGGCTTCTTCTCTTCTTTGTGTGTGTGTGTGTGTGTGTGTATACGTGTAGTAGATGTTATAAATTCAAAACCTCTCACCCCAAACACCAACAAAAAAATAATTCAGAATTTAAATGATCGACAGCACCATCACTGGCTCCCAGTCTCTGCTTTACCCCTTTCTTTTTCTTCTGTGCATCACTTCTGCTTTGCTATGGCTTTTCTTTCTCTCTCTCTCTCTCTCTCTATCCCTCTGTCTGTGTTTTTTTCTTCTCTCTCTCTCTCGTGTGTGTGTGTGTGAGTGATATGTAGAGGCTATAAATTCAAATCTCTTACCCCAATCGCACCACCAAACCCTCTCCCCCCCCAAAAAAATCTGCAGATGCAACTCAGAATTTCCAATGCAACACACACCCCCTCCCTCTCTCACAGAGAAAAGGTCTGAGGCAGATTTAAGATGCAACACACACACACACACACACACACAGTGTATGTGCTTAAGGACCACACACACAAAAAAAAATAACGTCTGGTTATTTCAATCCTCCAGTCTTTTCTCTCCCTCTCTCTCTCTCTCTGTGTGTGTGTGTGTGTGTGTGTTACTGATTGCAATGATCCTCAGGACGATGCGGAATTTTGTGTCACCCCCTTTGGAAAGGGGTGTATTTTACTCCAGTCCCATTGCTTTCTCTCTATCTCTCTCTCTCTCGCTGTCTGTCTGTCTGTGTGTCTGTGTGTGTGTCTGTCTGTGTTTGCTCTGCTCTGCTCTGCTGTAATTCCCTTCTCTCACTCCATCTCCTCCTTCTCCCCTGAACTGACTGCCACACAGAGAAATAAATCTGCCTCTCTCTTTGCAACGCATGCGTGTGCACTGGGGCTCAGCCCTTGTGTGAAGACAGTCCAGTCAAGTGAGCTGTGTAGTAAATGTGTGTGAGAGAGAGAGAGAGAGTGTAGAGGGAGTTTAAGGAAAAACACCTGCCTTTGCTTCTTGTCGGACGAGCTTAACTTTCCCCTCCACACTGTTGTGCAGAGTTCTCAGTAGCTTACGGGGCGAAATCTTGGGCAAATTTCTTCACTCCGCACGCCTCTGTTTGCCCATTAATAAGTAGGAACCCCGACTGCTAGTCGATTAGTGGATTGCTTTCCGGGGGCTAATATTATTAGTTTGGTTTGAAGGCTTTAAGTATGGTGATGGGTCTCTCCCTTGGTGTGTCAGATTCCTGTTTCATTGCTGCCGCGCCCCCCTAAAATAGTTTTTCTTGTTCTGTCGTGTTCTTCTACAAAATATAGCCACTGTCCTTTACAGCAAACCCTGTGAAGCGCTTCGAGACATCCTCCTGATGGAAAGGTGCTGTACCAAATGTACCAAATGTATTATCACTGTCGAAATATCACAACCTTAAAAGGTTTATCACAAATATGTTCAAACTCAGACCCCTGAGTGTGGACGAGCTCTACCCGATTGTCTTGCTCAGTTCGGGCCCCTGTGTGGATGATATCAACGCAACAGGATTGAGTACCATCTCACACAGAGGTCTCAGTTCCAGTTTAATTCTGAGGCTGTTGTAATTATGTAGACTGAATCGGTCAGTGGTTTTCCACTGAATTTGAATTAACAGAGCCCACAAAGATGATAGATTTCAGAGCGTCTTGATATAACTGCTTGAATGAAAAAGAATAACTGTTACAGGCAGAGGTGTTATTTTGCCCACAAAAACACAGTCAATCGAGTACAATATATCCTGTGAAGCACTTTGAGACATCTCAACAGCATCATAGGGCGCTATATCAAATGCAAGGATTATTATTATCATTATTACTTTAGTTCTTTGTTCACTGTTACACTTTGAAAGGTTTGGAGCCTCTCTTAGTTCCCAGAGCAGACTCACTAAGCAGTTCCAGTCCGCATACTCCTTTATTTTGAGAACTCTCCCCTATCAGACACTACCCCCCACTGACACTAACCAGGAGTGTGAATAACACAATAAAGACAGGACATTGATAAGGATTTAATGTTGATTACTGGAGAGCAGCACCTGGGACTAGGACTTTGGGTCAGAGATAACAAAGGTGGTTTCTGCTGCTTTCCTCTTTGTTAGGCAGAGAGGCGTCTGGTCTGTGAGGAAGCTCAGTTAGAGCTATTAATTGGGGGCTGTTTTGCCACTGAAACTAATACTGTGATTTTCATCACACCAATCCTTGCCAGGCTCCACTGGCTCTCAATCACCGAACGGATTGACTTCAAGATTCTCTCACTCGTTTTCAAATCACTTAATTCCCTCACACCTCCCTACTTAGCCGACCTGCGTACCCACCACTCGCTGCTTCCGTTCGGTTGGCTCCGGCCTCCTAATTATCTCTCGTGCCCTCCTTGTCCTCCTCGTGTCCTCCTTGTCCTCCTCGTGTCCATCGGTGGCCGTGCCTTCAGCCACTGTGCTCCGAATCTCTGGAACTCTCTCCCTCAATCCCTCTGAGTTGCCCCATCCCTCTCCACCTTCATATCCTGCCTAAAGAACTTCCTTTTTGATCATGTTTAGGGTCACCTCCCAACTCCCTCTCCCCTTGGCTCGTTGTCAGACTCCGTCACTGTGAAGCGCTCGGGGACACTATCCCGTGTGAAGGGCGCTAAATAAATTGTTGTTGTTGATAATCTCAGTAAACTTGGATCTTTCTCATGCATTTGATCCAACCATTACGAGGGATTGTGGCTTGTCATTGCTGTCAATTTAGCTCCAAACAAGTATACTGTACTTACAAACAATGTAAGGGCAATATGACAGCCACACATTATTTCTGTTACAGAATAGGAGCATTTCTTGGGGTAATAGCTTGTGTGTTGAGGTAAAGGACAGGTTGCTCCACCCCTGCATCATTCACCTGACTCAGCACTGTACCAAATCCTCCGTCAGACACGTCGGTCTGAACTATAAATTCCCGCATATAATCAGGATTGGCCAACACTAGTTCTGCAGCGCCTGCTTCAAGCGCCTGAAGGCCTCCTTGCATGCGTCAGTCCATTTAACCCCGGTCCGAAAGCTTGAGGCTGGTGTGATCGGTCGGTCAATAGAGTGGCTATCTGGCTATAATTGAGAATATAATTCCTGTAATAGTCAGTCGTTCCAAGGAACGCTCGTACCTGCGTCTTGGTCTCAGGAAGAGGACATCGCAAAGCGCTTGACAGGATTTACTGTAAAATGGAGTGACTGGTTGATTTGTGGACAAATTATATTATTACATACACAAATATCAAATGGCAGGATCATTATCATTGGATGCTGGTTGTCCCTTAAAGGATGGTAGGTGACAATATTGGAAGCAGCAATGCTAAGTGTGTCCAGAAACTCTTTTGTACGTACACATGCTTTAAGTGTACAGTACAATGTA